TTTTAAGGCTTTAAGACCGAACGTAGTCGAAGCAGATAAGAATGCACGGTATGCGAGTCACTCGTGGACGCGTTCCACTCCGAGTTTGCCCGATTCGATTCGACGAGTAGACCCGAGGAACCTCGAGACCAGTCGATCGCAACCGATTCGAACCGATCCTCGTCCTCCAGGCTCGAACAAAAGTCTACCTTTGCCCCTGTTCTCCTCTGGCCGCTCTTCGGTTCGGCCCTGTTCGACCTTGTTCGAGCCTGTTCGGCCCTGTTCGCTTTAGGCTACCGATTACGGTGTTTCGAACGGGGTTCGGCGGGCGCACGCGAATCGGATCGAACTTTCGATTGGCAACGATCGACGGCGCGATCTGGTTTCGCGCGCGAACGAGCTTAAAATAATGAAACGAAAGGTTGCCACTCGGAATAGAAGATTCTAGCTAAACGGAATGCGTTGCATTGGTCTCTCGCGGTTCGATGTTGCAACGATGAATGAACAACGTTTCGTCGTGTTATGTTTTCGTTAGGATGGCCACAGACGTGGCGAGCAAGAAAGCCGAGCGGGAGGCACTGCGCGGTGTGATTCAGCAATGGAACGCCAACCGCTTGGACTTGTTCGAGCTCTCGGAGCCGAACGAGGTAAGTTTCTTCTTGGCGAAACCACCGGCCACAGGGAATCTCGTTGCGCCTCGAATGAATCGTTTTCGTTGCACTCTGCAGGATTTGGAGTTTCACGGGGTAATGAGGTTCTACTTTCAAGACAGCGGTCAGAAGGTTGCAACGAAATGTATCCGAGTAGCCTCGGATGCGACCAGTCAAGCTGTCATCGAAACTCTTATCGAGAAATTCCGTCCAGACATGCGAATGCTTTCCGTTCCAGAGTACGCTCTTTACGAGATTCACGAGAACGGTGGTAAGTGGTTGTTTTCTGCTTTCATTTTATTTCGCGCCGATCAGTTTCGTTTCCGTTCCCATTCCCACTGCCATTCCCACTGCCATTCCCACTGCCATTCCCACTGCCATTCCCGTTCCCGCACTTTAAATATGTACTATTTCACTTTGTTTCGCTTCGCTCCGTTTCCAGAAGAACGTAAACTCGGCCTCGACGAGAAGCCGTTGCTGGTGCAGTTAAACTGGCACATAGACGACCGCGAGGGACGTTTCCTACTGAGAAGAATCGACGACAAGACGAACGCGCAGGGGGTTGCTTTCTCTTCCGCGGACGGATCCAGCTTTCGTAGAAAGCTGAGCAAACGCGAGAAGAAGCAGATCAAGAAGCAGGAGAAGCTTAGTCGACTGAAGAGCGTAGAGCAAGACGAAAACGCGGCTCCCGCTGATCAGAACGGGGTTGCCGAGAAACTGTACACAGGTAAGCGAGATTCGATCGGTGGAGCGAGACGCCAGCCTCTCCTGTACGCGAACATTATCGTTTCGCTCTCCGATCGATTCTACGAGCCAACGACCCGAAGGGAAGGGAATCGAAACATTCGTCTCAAACGATCGGTAAACGAGTAAAGTCGATTGCGATTCCAGAACTGCCGGAAACTAGCTTCACTAGAAGCATTTCGAATCCAGAAGCTGTGATGAGGAGGCGACGTCAGCAAAAACTCGAAAGGAAATTGCAACAATTTCGCAGTAAAGACGGTGGCCCCGACACTGGGGGAACCTTGAAAATTTATGGAGAGGCGCTTTGCAAAGACGTCCCTTATAAAACGTTGCTTTTAAGCGTGCGGGATTCGGCCGTACAGGTTGTCCGAGAGATGCTTTCCAAGTATGGATTGGAGAAGGTCGATCCGCAGCAGTATTGTCTCGTACAGGTTAGCGGTTACTTTCGTTCGTAATCTGCGACGAATGATCAATGTTTTCCACTATTTACGTGTTATTTGAACGTTGCCTAGGTGAACGGTGAAAACGCCAATGGGGGAACGCAACAAGAGTATATTTTGGACGACGACGAATGTCCTTTGGCCATTCTAATGAATCACCCTTCGACACGTGGTGAGTTGTAGAAACTCGACGAGTTTTATAGATTTTATAGCAACTTTACGAATCGCACGAGAATTCCCGAAACCGATTACGGTTACTTTCTCAACGGAAACCACGCGCGGATGGCTGTTGGGTGTCGATGAAACTTACAATCGGTACAGTTTTCCCGCCGTCTCTCGAGAACCTTTCCTAACGGATTACACTCGCGCAAGCTTTCAACGCTTGTCGTAGTATCGTTGGCCGTGAAAGCCCGAAAGAAAAAAATCCTATTGGATCGACTCTTTCGAAAGTCCCGGTTGACGGGGGGGTACAGTTGAACGAGCGGGACAAGAATGTTATAGAAACGAGACGAGTCGTTGGTCGTTCATCGTTCGTTGCCTGTTGCCCGTTGTTTGTTGGTTTCGCGTTCGTTTCGCCTCCACGGACCTGCGCTCGATCGACGGACGGAAGCGCTTGCGCTCTTACCCTTCTCCGCTTGTTCGTGTGAACCAACGATCGGTCAGATTCCGTCGGCGGTGCTCGAGTTTAGCCGGGCTACGCTGTCACGGAATTTTACGTTAGAGATACCCGTCGGTTTTCAGCTGTTTAAACGCGGTGGCTGGCAAACTGATTTCAGAATTGTTTGAACGCCGACAGACATTCTCGGAAGAAAGTGT